TTATTGTTATTATAATTATAACTTGAATGATATTAATAAATATAGTTAAGGAATATTTATTGTTGTTTATTTTTAATTAAAATAACTTGATTTAAAATATAATAAATTTATATAAATAATTTTATATTTTAAGTTTTTACTTAAAAAACAAAATAATATTTTTGTATAAATTAATAAATTTGTGTATAATATTCAAACGGATTGATTTCCATATTATAAGTAGTTTCACGAAGTATCATATCTATATTTCATAGAATCAGTGACGTGACAGACAGTTCAAAATAGCACGTGCTTGAGAAGGAGATTGTTATACGTGTTCTTTTACGTTTCATCCACGCTTATAATACTGATGATCGATATATTATTTTATGTTTTTCTAAATATTATAAAAGAATTTAATATTTTATCTCATTCTTCTTCCTACGTGAATTAGAATGACAAGTAAGAAAGGACACACCCTTCGAATTGAATCAGAGATCGATAAAAACCGTGAAGAAGGAAATTGGAAAAAGGTTATAGAATTGGCGGAACACCTAAAAGTACAGTATCCCAGTAATGGTAAATATTTTCTTTCTTTTAATGTTTATAAATATTTATGTGATTTGATATTTTTGTTTTTTAGTAAAATATTTAATAAGATTTTATAAAAATTAATTATCAAGAATTTCGTCAGCTATTCATGTAAAAAAATCGTTAAGTCATGTATCGGATTACATGAGTAAAGGTCAAATATAACTGTAATAAAATATGTCATTTGATAAGAAATTTTTTTAATATTTTTATAATATTTTAAATATCTAAATTTTAAAAATAACTGAATTATTAAATATTTTTAATTTTAAAAAATAAAAACGAATAATTAACATTAATTACTAAATTATTAAATATTTCTATTAGTATTTATATTAATTTTTATTAAAATATTTTATTAATAAAAATAATATTTTATTAATAAAAATTCATATTTGTAAATATTTTAACATATAAAAATTTTCAAAAATTATACAAAAATTAATTTTATAATAATAATAATTATATACATAAAATAAAAATGCAATATTTTAAATAAATAATTTTAATTTTAGAATGTCTAGCAAATTTTTTATGTGGAGAAGGAAGATTAGAAAGTTTTTTAGAACAAACTCCACCTATAGATGCTAACATTGGAAAAGCTAGAAATGGTTTACAAGAAACTAGAAGATATTTAATTCTTGCAGCAAATGAAAAAGATAAACAAGTAATTATAATCTTAATTATATAGTTTTTTTTTTGATTAATTAATTATATAATTTTTTTAAATTGTATATTATTAAAAATTTATAATTTAATATTTTAATGTTATATTAATAATTAAATAATATTTGAATTTATTTAGGCTTTGGTTGTATTAGATGCACATTTATTACTTGGTAAATTGCATTATGCAATGGGAATGTATGAAGAAGCTCTCAAACATTATCAACAAGCTGAATTACATACACTTACAGAAAAACCATTACCTTGTAGAAGTCTACGTATTATTGCAGAATCATATGCAATTAAAGGTTTGCATCAGATTTAAATCATTTATTATATTAATAATGTTAGTATAATTAATATGTTAGTATATGCTAGTGCATTATTATTTTTAATACCACATATAATAGCCTGCTATTTAAATAAAGGAATGATATCTATTATAGTTTGATGTTTTATATTCACTTAACAAGTTTTTTTTTTAATTCTGTGCTTTAAAACATTAAATTTGATATCATTGCACTTAACATAAATATTCTAACAAAGATGAAGAACAGCATATCTTTTTTTTTATTTTCTGTAAAAGTATAAATCTTTTCCAATCTAAGGTAACACCAAACCAAAATTATTTATACAACCAATTATTTTTGAGGATATTTATGCTATTTGTTCGGTATTATAATTAATGTATAACTTAGAGAAAGAAAGATTGTTTACTTTAGACACAGGAAAACATTTATCCCGCCGAAGACTGCGCATTATTGCTGAGTCACATGCAATTCAAGGTTTGTACTTTGCTTCATTTTTATTTCTTTTATTTGCCATGTGTAAGTTTATCCTATATCTTCATATTTTTCCTTCTTTCAGCTATTAAATTATATTATAATATGTATTATAATATATATTGTACATGTTTTATCATTGTACAAAACTATTAATGCAATAATATAAATTAAATTTTCTTTCATTAACTTTGAAAATATTTAAAGTATTATTTTAATATTATTTTCATTATTTAATCATTAATAAAAATTTTTCAGAATTTAAAATATTAAAGCAATATATTTTGATTAAACTATTATATATTATATATTATTATATAATAATACTAATAATAATAATAATAATAATATAATATAATATAATATAAGTTTTAGCATTTAAAATTATTTATTTAAATTTATATATATTTTTATATCAAAATTATAGAAAAATTTTGTTTATCTAAAAATTTCGAAAAATATAAAAATTTTAAAAAAAATTTTTAAAAATATTTTATTAATGATAATAATATATATTTTTATCTGGTTTATTTATACTTTTTTCTATAGTTTCTATAGTTTATTTATTTGTACTTTTTCTTTTTTTAATATTTGTTTGATTCTTAAATTCAATTATTATTATTATGTCATCATCTTATATCATTTTCAATTAATAATTTTTAATCATTTTATTTTATATTTTTTAAACATTGAAAAAATTATCGCATGTATCATATTTTAATTAATTTGTTTATGTTTTAAAAATAATTGATATATAATTTAATAAATCACTGTTTATTTCTGTTGTATAATTAATATATATGTAACATAGATAATTTTTTTTGTGATGATTTTATTAATAAAAAATATATTTGCATCTATTAATATACTTTTTGATACATATAAAGAAATATAATATATTTATTGCATAAATTATAAAATAAATTAATTTAAAAAATTGCTTATATTTTTTATGAATATAATTTTTCAGTATTTAAAAAATATATATCTTAATACGAAGAACATTATTTTTTTTTTCTATTAATTGTAATTTTTGTTGATAATAAGTTTTTCTGATATTCTTTTTTTTTCATTTATAACAGGTCTTTGTTTAGAAAAATTACCACCAAATTCTAAATCAAAATATAAAATAGCAGAATGGCAAGAACAAATCATCAAATGCTATGAAATAGCTGGGGATCTAACATTGGTATATTTACAAGAACAAGACAAACTTGCAATGCAACATCAAAATGGAACGTCTACCGTAAATAGTAACAATGCAGGTAATCCTTTATAACATATATTTTTTTCATTAAATAATATTAATTGATACTTAGCATTCCATAATTTATAAATGTATAAATAATATCCTGATTAATAGTAGGAATATTCAGTGAATAAAAAACGTAATAGCAAGCATTAAAATAAATTTATTCCTAAGAATATTGCATTAATTATATTTGTTTACATTTTTTCAGGTGATATTATAGGGTTGTTGGTGGAATGTGACAAAACTTGAAATTTGAGTTTTGTAGCTAATACCTTAATATCATTTGATCAACAGGTACATATTCTTCTCAATCTTCGTTTTGTTCTACAAAACATATTGGACCAATATTGGAAACTGCACTACAAAGGGCACCCATATTATACATTCAAATTGGTAATATTCAAGGTGCAATAAATCGTTATAGGTAATTATCTGTTTCTATTAATAAAACTATAAACAAAAAAAGTGAAAGTAATAAAAGTGAAAGTATATGTAGAGAAATATTTAAAATAAACAATTTTTATTCATGAAATTTATAAGGGAAATTTTATCTGCTGTGGAATCTACAACAACTCAAAGTCTTAGAGTTACCTTAACAAGACAATTGGCAGAAGTATTAATTCGAGGCATTAGCGGTGCTGAATATAAACCTCCAGAAGTACCAAGTGACTCAACAGGTAGTATTATTAATAAAACCATGTAATATTGTGATAAAATTTAAAATTAAAAAAAATTAAAAACAAAATCATTATTATAATTTATTTTTTAGATTCACCTTGGAAACCAAAGAAATATTTAGGTCTTAATAAGTTTGTGCCAAGAAATGAATATGAAGAAACAATTTTATTATTATTAATAAGTGAAGCTATGGCAGTTAGAGATGCTGTGCTTAGTCAATCTCCAGAATTTAAAGATGCAAGAATTCATGCTTTTGAAAATGCTGCTGCAGTATATGATCTTCTCACAGTAGTTGTTGTGAGGTGGAGTCAAGTGGATTTATTATATGAAGTAATTGCAATGAATTTTTCAATATATATTCATTTTTCAAATATACATGTATATAATATATCATATATACAAATATATATATATATACATATATATAACTTCATTTAATTTTATATTTTTATAGTCATTTGAAAGAGCAATGAAATTTTCTCATGAAGAAGCGCATGTATGGACTCAATGTGCATTATGTTTAATTAGTATGGGAAAATATATGCATGCTTATAGAGTTTTAAAAGTGGTAACAAGATTATCATCGCAAAAAGTAATGCCGTGCCTTTTAGCTGCGAGACTATGTTATGAACAATTAAATATGGTAAGAATTTTGTTTCTTCTTCAAATTATATTGAATTTTATTGAATTATATTTATTCTTCTTCAAATTATATTGAATTTATTTATGCATTTCATAAAAATTAACATATAAAAAACATATTAAAAACAATATATAGATAAAAGAAGGTATCGAATGGAGTCAAAAAGCACTTCAAAGAGAAACTTCATATTCTCAAGGGATGCAATCAAGATGTCATCTTTATATTGGTATTGGTCATAGTATTCTTGCTGTAAATACTATAGTAAAAATGGATAAAACTTACCATACTAAGACAGCTCTAGAATGCTTTCAAAAGTATGTACAATAAAAATTACATTAAAAATTAAAAAAAAGAAATAAATTAAATATATTATAATATTATATATTTATTTAATAGAGCACAGCAATGTGATCCAAATGATCACTTAGCAGAATATTATTTAGCTCACGAATATGCAATTAACAGACAAATTAATGACGCAATGATTCACGTAAAAATTGCATTAAATTTACGAGCAGAACACATTCCATCATTGCATTTATTAGTATTACTATTGTCGGCTCACAAGCAATATTCAGAAGCATTGCATTTAATAAATAGTGTATTAGAAGAATATCCAGATAATTTAAATTTTCTTTATGTAAAAGCGCATCTTGAATTACGAAGTATCGGTGGTGAACAAGCATTGTTTACCATAAGACATATGCTTTTACTATGGAAGAATCTATATGAAGATCAAACTAATGCTAATTGTAATGAACAACATAGTGAAAAACGCAGTGAAACTAGAAGTGTTTTTCAACTTTATGCTTCTGAATTGTCTGATAAAGATTCCAGTATGTCTTTATATATTTTTTAATTTATAGTTTTTAAAATTAAATTATTTTGTATAAAAATTTCAAATAGCTAAAATTTTTAATAGGTTCTCTTCATGCACAATCATTAGCTGCTTCAAGAGTAGAGCAAGCTTTATCAGAGGTTGCATCTTCGCTCAGTTCTTTTACTCCAAAGCCTGGACCACAAAGAGCATGGTTGTTACAATTACAAGTTTGGCTATTGCTTACTGAAGTATATCTAGTTTTAGATCAACCAAATGGTGCTGTCCTTTCTTTACAAGAAGCTACAAATATTTTTCCACTAAGTCATCATATTATGTATACAGTAAGTTTAAGTAATATTATCTAAGAAATAAAGAAAAGATTTGCTTCTTCTTTTCATATAATTTCATTATTAAGAGTATTGAAATTTCAGCGGGGTCTTCTTCATGAATATAAATTGGAATATATGGAAGCAAAACAATGTTATCAGAATGCAGTTTCAATTAATCCATCACATATTAAAAGTTTACAACATTTGGTAATGATTTTAATAATTTTTTTAAACAACAATTTTTAATGAATCAAATAATATACATTTATGTATATATTATTTTTATTATTAGGGATTAATTTATCATTATTTGGGTAGTCAAAGATTAGCTGAAAAAACTTTACGGGATGCTGCAAAAATTGATCCAAATTCTCATCAAACATGGTAGTATAAAAAATTACTATAAAAATTATACTTGTATTTATATTTGAAAATATAATAGTATGATATTTAAATAATTTATATATTATAAAATTTTGATAAAATAAATTCTTTTTATAGGTACAATTTAGGAAAAGTGTTGGAATCTTTAGGTGAAGTAGAAGCAGCAAGTGATTGTATGGCTACGGCTTTGGAAGTAGAAATTACGAATCCAATATTGCCAATTCTTTCAATACCAGTAACATTTGAATGATTCAAAATTTTAATTTTTTAAAAAAGATTATAATTTATCATGCAACATTGGCATTTGTTTGTCCTTGTGGCAATCGTACCTGCTTATCTTTAAAATTAATTGCATTATTGTACAAATATATAAATTCTTTAAAAAATATTATGCAAATAATTTATCAATAAAGACTTATTGTAAAAAGACTCAAATAAAGAAATATAAGAAAGAATATTTAATATTTTTAATATTTTATATAAAAAATATGATAAAGTATTTATAGATAAGATTAATATTCGCTTTTAATTTTTAATAAAGCAATTTTTATCAAAAATAATTTCAAATAATATTCTATGATTTTTTATTCATATTATCATAAAAATACATATATATATATATAAAACTATATAATAATATTAAATTAATTTATTGAATATATTATAAATTGCATGTAATTGAATATACTTTTATAACTTATAATAGAAATATTTTTATAATAGATTTTCTGCGTATGTGCACGTGTATGCATATGTATATATATGATTAAAATAAATTCTAAAATTTTTTTTCTATTATATAATTAATATATTATATATTATATAATAAATATTATATAATTTGTAATTTAACTTTTTTTGAATAAACAGCTTAAAAAATTTTTAATTAAAACTTTAATAAATAACTATATCAACATGATATAAAATAATAATATTTATATATAAATATTTATAAATATTATTTTTTATTATATTTTTTTAATTAATTTTGTACAACTTTTTTTGTTTAATTATTTTATTATAATTCAATATTTTTCAAAATTTATGAAAAAAATTTAATAAAAATAAAAAATTTTTAAAAATGTAAAAATAAAGAAATAGAGATAATTATAATAATAATATGATTCATATTATGATGCAATATAAATTAAATATAAACTTCTCAATAAAATATAATTTTTCAATAAAATCATTAAATTTTATTTTTTTAAACAAAAATTTAATATCTATACTTTATTAAAATAAAAAGTAATGATATTTCTAAAATATTATAAATTTTTATAGAAAAATATTATAAATATATAATATTTTTATATAATATTTTATATAAATATATAAAGTTTACAATATTTTTATGTAAATTAAATTCAATTTATTTCACTTAATATTAATTGATATTTATTTTTTTTTTAATTTTTTTTCAACTTTTTTAAACTTTCAATATTTTTAAAAATATAATGATCTTTTAATAATCGCATAATATTTTATTTTTCTTTAAACATATAATAAAAAATTAATATTTTTTTATATGTTAAGCACATATTGAAACAAATTTATTTAAAATTATTATATAATTTACAAATTTACTACAGAATAGACTCCAATATCGCATTTGTTATTAAATTAATATTAATAATAAATTAGATTCTACATCGATGAATGTTTCGCATTTCCTATTAAATTAATATCAATTAGATTCTACATCGATGAACGTATAAAATTAACATTCTTTGCCATGACACCCATTAAATTCCCTTCTTTACCGTTAATCGTGAACGCTATTGTGCGCTTTTCCATCCCCTATTCTGTCTCTTTTTAACGAGATTATAAGTCATTCTATCCTATTCTATCGCGTGTCGCATTGCGCGTTTATTGGTGCGCAGGCTCATTGCAATATAGAACTTTTTCGAAAACCTCATTTAACAACAAGTCGGCTCTTTGAGAAACTGCGTCATGAATCCATATTTTCTATGACCTATCAGGTTCAGCATCGATTTTTTTTGGTAACCATGTTCAAAAACAATATTGTGTAAACAGTTAGTCCATGGAACATTGTACCGCGTCACGTTTAGCGCATCACGCATCTGCAGAGCTTACGGCTATGCGTAATACAATCGACCAACTATTATCTTACTCTTTTTTTTGTATTCGTCGAACGATATAGAAGATTACAAGGTTGCTGTAATTGTACTGTATTGGAATCAAAAATTTAATAATATAATAATAAAATATATATAAAGTACACATAATTATAGGTTAGAAATTTTTACGCTTTTTAAGATATAACACATTTAAATATAATAAAAAAAATAAAAATATGTACTTTAATAAAATTTAAATAATAATAATGAGTGGCATAACTCGAATAAATCTTTTTTTAATAAACATATTTTATATTAAATGTATAAATTATAACATTATATAATTACAAATTATAAATTTATTATTTCTTTAAATTTATTACATTTAAACTACTTTTGTTACAAAATATTATTTCCTAAAGAAAATATTGCATCTATTACTATCATATATTATTAATTTGCTTAAATTATAACATTTATTATTTCAAGAAAATATAAAAGTATATATTTATTTGTTATAAATTTTTTTAAAATAATTTATATAGATTTTGACTAAAAAATAAGACTATGAAAACATTTTTATTACATGGATTATCACATAATTTTAATAAGAGAATGATGAATTGATGAATAAAAATTATTATAGGAAAAATTTGTAGTTATTTTTGTATATATTTTTGTATAGTAATTTCCAAATCCAAGATGACCTTGATATACTTTCAAAAAATTGGCGTGAAGGAACCATCATTTCCGTTAGGTAGCTAAGTACATACGTGAACGTTCTTTTTTGCCGCACGCATGCTCATCGCTTATTATTGATATCGCGAACATCGTGCGACGGCGTACCGCATATCGGTCACGGCCACCGACGAAACTGTTAATTATCTATTAGATATGAACGAGGTTTACGAATATCGATATTAAAGTGACATCATAATTTTAAATGAATTAAGAATTCTAATATGCAAAAAATATGCAAACAAATGATTTATATATCAATAACGAAAATTCATTTATTATATGATATCGTGAATGTTAGAATTTGATGGACAACTTTACATTATATCATAATTATATTAAATTACAATTATATTAAAATTTATATTTGTAAATATTAATTTCTAATATTATAGTATTATATAGTAAGTATTAATATTACTTTTGTCGGTAGATAAAAGAAATGCCAAAGCACAAAAATCCATAAAAATCATATATAAATTTATCTTCAATTAATTTAATCTTACATATATTTGCATTATATCTTACAATAAATTATATGCCATTATATTATATGCCCCAATATTTAAAGAATTAATTTCTTGTATGCAATGTGTTTGTTAGCAATAAAATATATAATTACAAAATTTTATTTTATTTATATTTAATTTATATTTATATTATGTAAATTTATATTATATATTTATATTATTACATTATGTTAAAAAAAATTTAATATTTTTAATTATATTTTATATATATATATATTATAATAAAACTATATTTTTTTCTTAATAACTTTTAAATACAAAAGTAGACAATAAAGTAGACAATAAATAAAATTAACATAATAATAATACGATATATAATATAATATTTAATAAAAATTCTAGCGAATTGTATATTATTATATTAAAATTATATATTTATATAAAATTATTTTTGAATTATTTTAAAAAATTATAAGTAAGAATATTACAATTAATTTCTTATTTTTTTTTAATTAAAAAAATAATTATTTAAAAAATTTTTTAAGAATATAAATATAAAAAATGTAACTAATTTAAATTTAAAAATTTTAAATAGAAATTATTTATTTATCGTATTTGGATAAACGTCGAAAAATACATAGTATTTAAGAATAACATAATCATAAAATATAATCAGCAGATTATCTATAATACCTACTGATAAATAGAAAATGTTCAATAGTAATTGATAATATAAATATATAAATTTATTAATTTATATAACAAATATTTTTTAAATAGAAAGTCTTTAAAGTTTTGTAATTTCCCGATTACTATTCCCGAAAACTATATTCTCAACGATAAAATTAATTTATATATGATATGAATATACAAATATACAATATTCTAAGAATTAATCATGCAATATTTAAATTGATTCTGGTAGTATAATAAAAAAATATTTCAAACAAAAATATATTGATATGAAATGAATAAATAAAATTTGAAAGCATTATTAAAATTTTTAAATAACATTAATATATTTTTCTATTTATTTATATAATTATATAATTATTATATTATAAAATTATATAATATTTTTATAATATATAAAAAAATAAAATTAATGGGACAATTAAATGCAATAGGACATATTAAATATTTTAATCATGATTTTAAAAATTAACTTTTATTCGAAATACAGAGAAAAATAAAAAACGAAATAATTTTAACTGGCAATTATTTAGAATCTTTTAATTGCAAATGCAACAGCAAAAATTAGTTTATTGAACATTTCCTTTTTTGCTTATATATATATAGAATCATGGACTCGTCATTCACATTTTTCTCTCGCACGTCATATGATGATTGCATTCAGTATAATCAACCAATACAATCCCATAAATCGAAATCCTGAATGAAATTCAGTCTTTATTTTAATTCTATCATTATTTTTGTAAGATTCATAATTTTTATAAATAATATTAAAAGAAAATTTAATTACATTAAAAGAAAATTTAATTACAATAAACTTAAATTATGTTCTATTATTAGAATTAAATATCGAACTTTAAATTAACAATTTTCTATATCAATATTAATTAAATTTTATATCAAAGAATTTTAAATTTACATTAAATTCATATTTACTTTATAATTTACTCAAAATCAAAATCATTATATATTATTATTATGAATTTATTGATGAATAATTAATTAATATTAATGAATAATTCTAATGAAAAATGCAAATAAATAAACTAACATGTTGCAAATCAATTTCATCTGTGATGTTATATTATATGATTCAATTTATGTTTTATATACATATGAAACTAGATACTAATATTTTATCAATCATCTCATTTATTCGTCATTATTAATCTCACATTCTTTTCTTTATTCATTTTAATTTTTATAACAATTTTACGAATCCAAATAAGATTTCTATGTATTTCAATTATAAGACATGTAATTTTTATGCATAATTCAGTAATAAAAATAAAGTATATACCATATTTTTTATATTTTGATTTTCAATTTTTTAATTTTTTAATTCCAATATTATAAATAAAAACAATTTTTAAATAGTTATAGAATAAATGTTGAATATTAAGTATCACTAATATTTTTAATCTAATATTTGATTTCTTGACCTAAAATGACGCTCAAGTAATTATAATATTTTTTTTATTCAAAGTTGCGCATTATTTTTATTTGAGAAAATATCGACCGACTTTATGAAAGAACATTGTAACCATTAAAATTGAAGTTAATGCAAGATAGTCCATGTAAACTATTTAAATATTTTTTTTCCTTATCTTGTGAATAGAATCAAAAATTTTCATAATAACACAAAATTATAATTAAAAATTTTGTATTAAACATATAATATAGAAACATTTTAGAAACAATTAGAAACAAATAAAAAAAATTAAAGATTTATATAATTAATATAATAAATTATATAATTATAATAATAAAGATTATTATAATTTTTTTATTTAATAATTTAGAATATAGAAATATTAATTAATATAACTACTATTAAATGTATCATAAACAAGTAAATAAAAAATATAACAAAATATTTCAAATAAAGAGCAACAATTTCAATTTTCTATATTGTGAATATGATGATTTTAGTATTCATTAACTAACATCGTTTCATGATTGCAATTTTAAAATATTTTGTATGGATTGTAAGCAGGACTTAATCCATAATGATCTATTATTTACAAGACAAGATAAAAAATGAAATCAAAAAGAGTTATATCATTTCTCCTAAACTTCTTTTTTATCCAATCACTATCATTTAAGCCCAGATTTTTTATTAATCTAGAAATAGTTTAAATTAAAAGTTAGATAAAAATTATAAAAAATTATGGAGATTATAATTATAAATGAATATCGTTCCAATAGCTGTCGTTTTACAACTAGAAAATTAATGAGAAATCTTAAGGAAGCAAAGAGAAAAAGAGAAAAGAGAAAGCAAAAGAAAAGATTAAAATGGAAGAAGAAAATTAGAATAAAATAAAAATAAAAATAGATAAAGAGTATAGAGAATAAAAAAGAGAAATAGGAAAGAAGAGAAAAAAGACAAAGAAAGAGAGAGGTGTAGGGCTAAACGCACCCGAAAAACGCGCTCATTGCATTCGAGCCATCTCTCGCAGGGAAGCCCGGCTTTGACCCGGTAGCCGGCGGCGGCACAGTCCGCGCGGCTGCCTGACGCATTGCAGGTGCGCGTCGGCCAATCACAGGCCTGGTTAGTTCGCCCGGACTTGTCCTGTAAACACGACCGCACCCACCCCGCATGTAAAGCGGATTTGCACGATTGTCTATGACGACTATTTTGTATGTCGGACGTTGTGTCGTTCCTACTTCTTCCTATTTGTCCAATTAAAAACTAGTCGTTTTTTCAGGGTTTTCGCAGAGGAGAAGCCGCACGGAACTATCTGTCGATCGCGTAGGAAACGGCGCAGCGCATCACCGCGTGAACTCCCCTTAACCCCCGTCTAGATTGCCGACCAATCAGGAGATACCGTCATGTAGCCCGTTAGGGGCGGCGTAGTGATACTTGACTGAGACAAGCGGCAGAGAGGCTCGTACATCGAGAGAGAACGGTGGACTCCATTGCTGTCCCGAGTGCGTTTCTCGTCGGCTGTGTCGTATTGCGTGTCTGTCCGTGCTTTCGTGCACATAAGTTTTCTTCCCACATTGGAGATATTGTGAATAATATCCTTTGTGTTTAGTGCCTAAACGATATTTGAAATCGTCAAACGTATCAAGACGTAAAAACGAGCCAAAATGGTAAGTCCAATATTTTCTTTCCTGGTGCGTGTGCTTATGCGGACGTCGTTTAGCGGCCCCTCGCCCTCACCCTCGTCTTGGCTTTCGTTTGCCGCATTGACGCGTCGAGTGCACGTGCAACCCAACCGATACGCATTTATTATGAAACTTCTTTTTGTAATATTTTTTCGATTAAAAAGTTTCGATTTCCATTTCTATGTCATTTTATATCTTGTCCTATATACCAATTTACTGACGCACTATTATAATATTACATTCGTAATGGCCGGTATGCGGCGATGGACCGACTATCGATCCATTTCTCCTCCGGTGACTACGTATGTGTATTTTTCTCAGTCTTTCTGAACATGTCATAAATTGCAAAAGTTTCAAAAATATTCATGAAAACATTAAGGAAACATTAATGTAAAAAAAAATAACAAATTTTTTAAATCTTCTGCTTTAGATATAGATAGCATTATTATAAACAGTACAATAAAAACTTTTGAAAGTCAAAATTATAATATGTTTTTTTACATATCAATGTAACGATATTAAATGTTAAAAACTTCTTTAAAATTATAAATTTACAAATTATCAATTTAAAATATCTTATCTTTAGATTATCAATCTCTCGTGAGATAATGTCGTATTTCTTTGAATATTTCACTAATTCCAATTTAATGTTAAATTATTAATAGTAAATTCCAATAATGAACTATTATCATTTGTATATTTAAAAATTGAAAAATTAATATTAAAAAAATTAATTTAATCATATTTAATGAAATAATTATATATAAAGCTATGTGTATAACATTATTATTATTATTATTATATGTATTTGTAGATGTATTTCAATGTTATTATGATTTCAAAAGGAATTTATCTTCATTTAAAGTACAAACTTTAAAATATATTCATTTTTTTTATCTTATTTTATATCATATTACTTTTTTTATCAAAATTTTGTTTGAACAAATTAATATAATGAAAGAGAATAATCTTTCAGAAGAGAATATACAAATTTTCTTTTATATAATTATTTTTTTTTATGGATGATCATTGTTTTCCTTATGTATATAGTATATAGTATTCGACAATGAACCATTACACAGTAATACTTCACTATTGATTTTCGCGGTCTCTTGCCGTTGCGCTAATTTCCTCTATTTCTTATACATCGTATTTGTTCTACAATTAGTTTTCTCATATTCTTAAATTCTTTAAATTCTTTTATCAAAATTTAAAGATTCTAATATTATTGTATGTATATTTAACTATAAAAATGTTGAAAATTCTTATACATGTATAAATACATTTATTTATATTTTATAATTATATAATTTTATTTTTTAAATTTTCAAATCACAAAAAGTAAGAATACATATTATGTAGTATTTAGAATTTTAAATAAAATTTTCATTTTTATTATAATTTTATAATTGTAGTTTTATGCTCAAAGGTGTTCAACTGCCCTCTTATCGCATAACCTAAAATGTATATTATTTCAATCATCTAAATTGTTTATGCATATAAATATTAAAATTTTATAAACAAATGTCTAAATGGACTAAAAATAATTTTTTAATAAAACTTTTTACTTTTATGGTTTTACTTTTTATTTTTAATATGGTTATAAAATTTAATCTATAATATATTATATATTTTCCTTTCAATAAACAATTGAATATTATATTATTATTTTATTTTTGATATTGTTTTTAATGTAGATTATAATGCTCATTGGATATTTTTATATAAAATATATATTATATGCATGTAATTGACTTATATTCAGAATATATTTTATTATTTTATAATTTAAATTAATTTAAAATTTTTAATATTCTATTACTATTGATTTTAAAATGAAATAATTTATTAAAATAATAAATATATAAATAATAAGAATTTTATATTTGTAAAATTCTAAGATTTTTTATTCAAAAGTACAATATAAATGAATAACATTTTATATAGGAAAAATATCATATTGTATTAAATTAAATTATATGTATTTATGTATATTGATATTTTAAATATTAATCAAATAGATTATTATAATTTATAAAAAATTATTTTATATTTTAATACATTTTTCATGATGTTCAACAAAATAAAATTTTTATATGCAAAAAAAATTAGCTAGATCTTAACAATATTATATTAATGGTTTATATATTAAAATTAAAAATTAATTTTTTAATTTTAAGGCTGATCAACTCACGGAAGAACAAATTGCAGAATTTAAGGAAGCATTTTCGCTATTTGATAAAGATGGAGATGGTACTATCACAACTAAAGAGTTGGGTACAGTTATGCGATCACTAGGTCAAAATCCCACAGAAGCTGAACTTCAGGATATGATTAATGAAGTCGATGCAGATGGTATTTTATATTTAATATTTAACATTTACATTTTGATATTATTTATTATGCAATTTTTATATTCATTAAATTGCATATAATTTTAACATTATTTTTAAACTTATTTTGTTAAGATACTTGCATAATAGAAAAATAATTCTTATATAATATATATAATTATCTTTTTCTTAAGAACATTGGAAAAAAATCTGATTTCAGAAAAAATCAAAACTAAAAATACTTGGAATTGTAGGTAATGGCACAATTGATTTTCCGGAATTCTTAACTATGATGGCTCGTAAAATGAAAGATACTGATAGTGAGGAAGAAATTAGGGAGGCCTTCAGAGTATTTGATAAGGATGGAAATGGTTTCATATCTGCAGCAGAACTCAGACATGTTATGACAAATCTTGGCGAGAAACTCACTGATGAAGAAGTTGATGAAATGATTCGAGAGGCTGACATCGATGGTGATGGCCAAGTTAATTATGAAGGTATAATTAAATATAATAATTTTAATTTAAATAATAATATATATTTTATTATGCAGTTTCAGAATTAAAATTTTGTTATCAATATTTTAAAAATTCAAATTAATACAAACTTTTTCAGTTAAAATTTTAAACATTTGTATAATTTTTAAATTTAAAATATATATTTATAAAATTACAATTCTAAAAATCATTTTATTTATCTAGAATTCGTCACAATGATGACATCAAAGTGAATGCAACCTGTGTAATGGAAAAACTTGCAACTTGGAGTGGTGTTGACGTATTAAGATAAATCAAGAACAAAGAAAAATATAATGTTAACAAAAAACGAATCGACCAGAAAGTGAAAAAAATCTTGTATCTGGACGCAAAGATGTCTATAAAACGCGAAAAATCAACGTCCAACACGCGTTAATCATTAACGATAAGTAATACAGGGCAATTGTTTAATTAAAAGAATTATACTAAAATCATTATCTCTAAATACACAAAACTTAATTACACAACATGAACATAAAAATACATATTACACGCACACATACACAAATACAAAAAAAACATACAGCACACACATAAATAGCATCTACATAAAAGATAATTTATTTCCGTATTAAAAAATATATAATTAAAAAATGTTAGATATATATATATAAATATAATATATATATATATATATATATATATATATATATAATAATATAATAAAT